AAGGGTTCTGTAAGGATACACTCATGCAGTATGTGCTCTTCTATATAGCTTCTTCCTTAGGGAAAGCTTGTGAGCATCTTCCAAGCCGGTGTGTGTCCCGACATCTAATTCTTTTTACTTAGAGACCAATAATCTATTGCTAGGTATGATGGTGTCAAGAGACAGTCATTGCTGAACTAGCCAGACCACAGCCTGCAAGCCACTCTACTAAGGCCCTTTTATACGTGGACTTGTTAAATCTGTTCTGTTCTTCCAGAGAATCTGTCTAACACATCAGCATAAGTCAAACTTTTCTTTACCCACTTACCAGTTGATGGACATATATGATCATGTCCTGTTTAGGGCTATTATGAATGAAACCACTACAAATAATTAAATATAAATGTTTGTATAAAGATATGTTTTCATTCCCTTGTATAAACATAAAAAAGAACTGCACATAAGATTAGCGAATGTTGTGATGTTTATTTTTAGCACTATAAGAAGCTGTTGTTACTTTTCCAAGTGGCTGCGCCATTTCTTAAACCCCTCTAACAGTGTGTGAGCATTCCTCACACATCCTCATTCACACCACATCATCACCAGTACAAACTATCCTCGGTTTTCAACAACAGTCGCTTTAGAGGTTACGTACTGCTAACTGAAGCTTTAGCTTGTTTTTCTCCTTGTCACAGTCCATGTTGAGTATCATTGCCTGTGCCGCTTATACATCCTCTTGGACAGAGTGTCTTCTCACATTCTTCCAGATTGGGCAAGTCTTACCTGAAATTCCTGGGACAGGCAGTGTCTCCTGTTTCAGACTTTGCAATATTTGTTTTCACATAGTAAGATACTTTGGGGGCCTGACCCATGAAATTCATTTGTGTTTCACAAACATCTTATGTGCATAGCCAGAAAGCTAGTTTAGACAATATTGTTTAAAGCACCTGTGTTTTGATTGTCACCTGTTCCATTAGATCACGTGAGGAATTTTCCATTTGTGACATCACCTTGTTGCTCAAAAGTTTTATATTTCAGAGCATTTCAGATGAGGAATGCTCAGCCTATGTCTGGATATTTGTTGGTTGCAGAGTTTAAATATACTTACATAGTACAGTTACAGTTCAGTATCAGGACTAAAGGTCGTTCAGGGGTAGAGCACACCATAGTAGGCTTGAAGCTCAATCTCCAGCCTCACACACTCACACAGAGAGACAGAGACAAAGAGAGACAGAGGGGGGCATAGAACACACACACACACACACACACACACACACACACACACACACACACACACACACGAGAGAGAGAGAGAGAGAGAGAGAAAGAGAGAGAGAGAGAGAGAGAGAGACTTTACACACATTTCCTTCCATTTTCTGGCGTTCATTTTCTCAGCAGTCTTTTGAAGAGCAAATGATTCAAGTATTTTGTTATTTATTGCTTTTATTCATTCAGTAACTTATTTAGGTTAAAAAATAACATCCTCAAATGACAAGAAAGACTTCCTCTAAGTATTAGCAGTTGCTGCAACTATTTGAGCTTCACAATAACTCCCCTTAATTCTCGGATCACCCTGGATTTTACAAATCGAGTTGGGCCTCTTCGGCTCCAGCCCACATGGACTACAACGCTGTGAATGGCTACGCTTTCTCCTTTGTGACCACCAGGACACTGGGGAAGGGAACTGCAAGTTAGGTTTGTAGTTTTAGGCAAGAGTCTTGCTATTCAGTCCAGACTGGCCTCAAACTCCCAATCCTCCGGCCTCAGCCTCCTGAATATAGAGATGTGTACACTAGCATGATGAGCTTCAGACTTCATTTCTTCTTAGTTTTAATAAAATTCAATGTTATAATTTATGAGCTTATAGATTGTGCTTTGGGTTTCTTATCTAACAAGGACAATCAACTTTTTTAGATCTTTAATAGTTAAATCTTTTCACTTTTATATTTCTATCTATGATCTATTTTAATTTTTGTGTATAATGTAAGGCAAGAGTTGAACTTCTCTCACCTTTCTGTTCACTCACTGAAAAGGCCATTCAGACACCATCGCCAAACATCTCACAATTATATGGCCATCTGGTTCTGAATTCTCTACCCTGTTCATTGGTCTGTATGCCTCCCTGTATACCAATATACCAATATTGCACTACCTAATGACTATAGCTTTATACTAAGTACTAAATCAGGGTGTGTGAGTTCAAAGTCATGTTGGTTAGCTTAGTAGTTTAGAATCTTTTTGTTGTTGATGTTGTTTTGAGACAGGGTTTCTCTGTGTAACAATCCTGGCTGTCTCAGGACTCGCTTTGTAGTCCAGAAACATAGAGACCTGCCTGCCTCTGCCTCCCAAGTGTGAGTGCTGGGATTAAAGGTGTGTGCCACCACCACCTGGCAGTTATTCTAGAATCTTATTTCCATAGCTATTTTAGAATTAACTTGTCAGTTTTATAAATGTACTATAATTTTAGTTGATATAATAAAATTAGAGATAAATTAACTTCATTTAAAAACTGACCACGATACTAACTCTTCCAAGCCACAAACACTGCCTTTAATTATGTATAGGTGTGTGTGTGTGTCCCCACATGTGGGTATGTGCATGGGAATGCTGACACCCTAGGAGGCAGAACCCCAGTCCGTTGAAGCAACTTAACTCATGAGACATCTCTCCAGCCTACTTCCTTCATTCTTGATTTGAAGGGGAGGCCATCAAGTCAAGCCTGTTGATGCTCCTTCATAGAGGGAGGAGGCATAGAGGGCCATTAGCCCCTCACTTTTGAATTCAACCACCCAAACCCATCTTTTGCTTCTTTGCCCACAGCATATAATTTGTCCCAGCCATCCATGGTCTCAGGCAGTGCTAGAGTGTTCCGTATATGAGGTTAACTATGGAGATGGGGTTCTATCGATTCAGGTATAGAGAGGTTGTCATCCATGCTGTGGTGAGATTGAGGTCACTCATGTTCCTGAAACTAACCCCTCACCCATGTTCCTATAAGTAAGCCCCAAATACTCCTTGGGTCAATAAGATAGAGCTGGGATGATTACTCTGTTCTGTGATTGACACTCTATCTGGAGTAAATAGATGTTTACTCAAATATCCCAAGGAAAAATTTACACAACACTAGGTAAACACTCATTAAATAAAAAAGCTACCAGTGTTCATTAGCACCTGCCTGTAAACCAACACTCCCGGAGACTGAAATGGGAAGATTGCGATTTTGAGGCTAGCCTAGGCAACAAAGCCAGATCCTGTGTCAGAAAAGCAAAAGCAAAATGAAAATAAGAATCTAGACTAGGTTGCAAACAGGGTAGATTTTATAACAAAAACTACTAATAGCATGCTGGCTAGTTTTTATGTCAGCTCAACAGGAGCTGAGAGGACCAGACCACAACTGAGAAAATGCCTGCTTAATATCTAGCTGTGGGCGAGCCCCTAGAGCATTTCCTTAGTGAGCGAGTGATGCAGAAGGCCCAGATTAACTGGGGCAGTGTCACCCTGGGCAGGTGGTCCTGGGTTCTATATGAAAGCAGGCTGAGGAAGCCATGAGGAGTAAGCCACTAAGCAGCATTCCTCCATGGCCTCTGTATCAGCTCCTGCCTCCAGGTTCCAGCCCTGCTTGAATTCTTGCCCTGGCTTCCTTTGATGAACTGTTGATATGGAAGTGTAAGCAAAACAAGCATGCATTATGCCTGATGAAAAAAATTTGCAGCAAACTTCTTCAATATGATAAAGAGCAAATACCCCCCAACAACAAAACAGACAATAAACCCCCACACCTTCCGTCTTAAATCACAGCTACTGATTAAATACGACACCTTCACAACTTCATGAAAGGGTCTTTCGGGATCTCCTCACAGGCACTCCGACCACCCCATGTTGCCCTGTCTCACAGCTCTCCCAAACCACAGAAGAATCCACTAACCTCTCCAGTCTTGGATCTTCCACACCTCCAAAGCCTGTAGGAAGTAGATGACTCTACCAAGTTCTGATGCTAGCTCAGGATGGAAACCGTTTTCCTCAGACCACAGTTGCAGCATCCTCTTTACCTTGAAAACTTTCCAAGAGCAGGAAACCCCTTAGGCTCCTTCCTTTCCCAGCTGGGGACTTTGGTGGGTGGGACCTAACTCTCAGGACCCTGTTCCTATGGTTCCATTGCAGACTGAGAGCTTCTCTTTAACAGCATTAATCTCATTACGGATTACAGCGTCTTTTCAGCGCATGCTGTAACTTTAGTGCCCATTCCTCTCTAAATTGTACATTTAAAGTTTTTTTTCTACCCCCACCTGTTTTTTTCATTGTAGACCCACAAAAGTATACAATGTGATAATCAGTACTAATGAGTCTACAGACTTGATGTTACGCTATTGAAATTTACCCCACCAAAGAAATTAATCAACTACTTTGTAATCTTGACTCAAATTCTTAGAACCCTGACAGAATGCAGCTGGATTTTTTTTTTTTTTTTTACAAGTGGCCCCTGGTCCAGTTCCCAATAGGGTCATTGTTTCCCTTTGAAATCTCAGGTACCAGACCTCCACTGTTCACATTTCTCTCAGCATTACTTTCTCCCAAGTTTCCAACAGGATGGCCCGTTAATCTCTGCTTACAGCATCCAGTGGCTTTTCTAGCCCAAAGTTCCAAAATCTTCTGTGGCCTGGAAGCCACACAGTCAGGCTGACCACTGCAATGGTGACATTTCAATGCAGCACAAATCTTAAAAAGTTTTATTAATAATAACAAACCCGGAGCCAGGCATTGGCGTGAACGCCAAAAGATCAGAGAAACAGAACAAGTCACAGCCAACCTCACCTTGCCAACTTCTCAGCTGATCTTGTTTCCTCAAACTGGAAGCCTCTGAGTCCTCACCCAAATGGATGTCAGCTGAACTGCTGTTCGAAAACTTAAATGCTTAAAAAGACCTCTAGTTCCTGGTCCTCGTGCCTTATATACCTTTTTGCTTCCTGCCATCACTTCCTGGGATTAAAGGCCTGTGTCTTTCCCAAACCAGACATGAGCTCTCAAGTCCTGAGATTCAAGGTGTGTGCCACCATGCCTGGGTCTATGTCTGTCTACCTAGTGGCTGTTCTATTCTCCGACCCCAGATAAGTTTATTGGGATGCACAATATATCAACCACATTTCTCAGCACCAATTCCTGTACTGGTTTCTATTCCTTTTCTGTGATAAAGGAACTAGATAAAAACAATGTAAGAAAGAGCTTGTTTAGACTCATAATTCCGGAGGGATAGGGACCACTGTGGCGGGGAGGACATGCTCAAAGGAGCAGGAAATGTGGCCAGGCTAAAAAGCCCCAAAGCCTATCCCCAGGGATCCACTTTTTCCAACAAGTTTCACTTCTTGAAGGGTCTCCACTCTTTCCAAACAGAACCATCAGCTGGGGACCACGTGATCAAAGACATTAATTTTTATGGGGGACATTTCATATTTAAACAGTGTATCTGTCTCTTTTTTCCATATCTCATTTTGACTGGTTAAAAATAAATTCTAGGTGAAAAGTTTCTTTTAGTACACTAGAAGTATCTCTCTGTGGCCTTCTGACTTGTCTAGTATCTGATAAGAATTCTTCTGTCACTCTTAACGGTTCCTCTGTGCATACGTATATAGTATTTCTGGTTTTAAGGTTTTATTATTGGTGGTTTTCAGTAATTTGTTTCATCCCAATTTCTTCATATTTTATCTCCTATATTAATTGAATTTCTTGAAATTGTGGGTTTCTGGTTTTCATCTAATTAGAAATTTTTTGATCAGTATTTCCTCTACTTTTATCCTTGCCCCTCTTTCTGTTAATTAAAAGTATATGAGACAATTTAATGGTGGGTAATAAACCACTGGCGACCAGTTATTTCCTTCAGCGGATCTCTCTGAGTTGTTCACTTTAGTATTTCTTACTTCTGCCTTAAAATTTACTGATCACTTAGTCTTTAATGGCCAACTGACTGGTCACCTTACTGGATTAGTTGGGGTTCTCTGGAGAAACGGAACTGATAATAAATAATAGGTTTATTACTAAGGGGTTTTTATTAGATTGGCTTATACAATACCCATGTACTAGCCCAACCACCGCTATCTGCGTAATGGAGAGGTTGAGAACCCAGTGGCTGATGAGCCCATGAGGCTGGTGCAGGTGACTCAAAGAACTCCTGGAGATTCCCTGGTCTTCAGTCCACTTTGTAGGCAGAAAACACCAGGTTCTACTGGGAGGGGGCAAAATGGAAGCAGCAACAAAAATGGATAGCCCCATTCATCAAGAAGACGGCGTGCTTGCGGGTAAGCAATGCTTTTCTCTTGGACCTCTTCATATTTGGGTTGCTGCTGGAAAGTTTTAGCTATTCTGTGGGAGGGTCTTGCCTCAGCTCCCTTAACCTCTCCTGGAAATGCCTTCACATACAGAGTCATGTCTCCTAGTTGATTTCCGATCTAATCAAGTTGGCCATCAAAATGAACTATCACCCCAGCTTAGTGCATTTCAGTCATTGAGTTTCTATTTATTTGAGAACTATAGTAGTTAATCTTCTCTTTGCTGGGACAAAGTCCTTGACAAATGCAGCTACAGGAGGAAAGGGTTGATTTGGGTTCATGATTTAAGAAGAGATAGATTTCATCATGGCAGGGTACCAAGTCACGGTAGCACCCCAAGGCAGCTCTGGTCACATTGTGTTGGAAGTCAGAAAGCAGAGACAGAATGCTGCCATTCAGCTGGCTTCCTCCCTTTTATTCAGTCAGCACTGCAGCCCCTAGGGTGGGACTACCCATTCAGGGTGGGTCTTCTCAGTTAACACTCTCTGGAAATACCTTCACAGACCTGCCCACACATCTGTTTCCAAGGTGGCTCTCATTCCAGTCAGGCTGGCAAAGATTAGCCATCACAGGTAATTTTTTTATGGCTTCCATTTCTCTTGTGACAGTGTCCAAGCTTCAAAGTGTTCTCAAACATACAACGCCTATTTGTCCCAGTTCAGTTAGCATCCTCGTATCTAGTACCATCGTTTCCATCTGTTTGCATTTATTAATTCTTTTACATTTTTAGGAGGACATTGTGGTCTTACATTTGTTGTTGACTTTCTTATAATCCTCTGAATAATTTGATTGTATTATTAAGTACCAATTTGAGTAATTTGAAGCCAAGTGGACCATTCTGAGACCTGCTTTTGAACTTCGTTACATAAATCCAGTCAGTCTTTAGGGCCAACTTTGCCCTACTTCCTAGGATTCTGTTCAGGTCCACTCAGGCTGGTATGAACACAAGCCATTTCTGGTCATGTGTGAAGTCCGGGGATTTGTCTGCATACTGATTTCCAGTAGCTTCTGAACTGAGTCTCAGGTAGTTTCCTCTCATGCCTGGGCAGACTAATAACCTGAGAAAGACTCAGAGTGCCCTGCAAATCCTCACAGTCTCCATCAGAGCTATTCTCTTCTCTCAGGCTTGGCCTCACAAATCCCAGCTCCGTCTGCCAGTCTCAAAATCCTCCTCTCAGTAGGACAGCCTGTCTTCTTGGCTCTCCCTTCCGCACAGGAAGTCTGGAAACTGTCTCCAGGCCTACGGCATTAGTGTATTAGTGTATTTAAAGCTTGATGTCTTTCTTCCCTTCTTCCCATGCACACTCCCTCCCTTCCTCTCTCCATTCCAACCCCCCTCCCACACTTGACCGTTTTCTACTTTGTCTTTATTTTCTTTTGGGAGTCGATACCCAGATTGCTTATTGTTGAATTATAAGTTAAATAAAAACTTTTATTTTTCTCTCCTATATTTTACCTAGTTTTTCAGTTTTGAACAGAAAGTTGAATGTGGTGACCTTTACTCTGTCTGGAACATTGGAAGTCTCTATCAGTTCTGATGCACTTTCTCTAAGAACAAGACCGGATGCATCTCTTCACAGTGTAAGGGGTGTAAGAGGGGACTTCTGTGTTGCTGCCCCTCTGTGAAAGTGTTCATGTCCTCCACGAATTTATTAGTGTTGTTGTTTTTTTCCTCGTTTTCAATAACCTCATTTATTTCTAGAATTCTCCTCCACTGATTCTTCAAAACTTATTTTTTTCTTATTCATTGATATTTCAATAGCTCTTCCTAAAATAATCATTCTTCTGATTTCTTCAAAAAAATTTTAAAGAGTGTATTTAACTTTATTTTATGTGCATTGGTGTGAAGGTGTCAGATCCCCTGGAACTGGAGTTACAGACAGTTGTGAGCTGCCATGTGGGTGCTGGGAATTGAACCCGGGTCCTCTGGAAGGACAGCCAATGCTCTTAACTGCTGAGCCGTCTCTCCAGCCATCTTCTGATGTCTTAATGACTCTTCCTCCTATTTTTATATTTGTGAGTTTCCCTGTTTCCTATATAAGTATTAAATAAACGTTTCCAATATGTAAACTCCACATACAGGACTCTACAGTGAAAAAATGAACAAACAAAGCAGAGTACACTTTCTTGTTCTTAAAATTCTTCTTATAATATGTATATAGACAAAACTGTACATATGTGATCTTATGGACTTGGTGGAGAAACCAAACCAAAATTATAACATGAATTAAGATTATTCCTGAAATTCTTCCCAGGAAATAATAAATCTCAGCAAAATGTTGAGCAAAACTATAAACATCTAAGCATGTTGGAAGAGGTAAGTATTCCAAGGTCAGTTGAAAAAAAAAGTAGAATGGGAAAGAAATTAGCCACAGAGGTGGTCACTGTGGCTCCACTTCCAGACCAGCCCTGCTTAGATCCTGTCCATTAGGAGAAAGAGAGGGTCCCGAGAAATGAAGTCCAAATTCATAGAAGCCTGGGGGAGCTGGCCACAGAGACCTGAGGCAAGCAAGGTGGTGTCTCATGATTAGACATTGATTATATTCCCTAATTTAGCTATTTATTAATATTTCCATGGATACTGATGCGGTCTTAAGCTCGTTGCTGTCATGTTTAGTTGAGGGAGCCCAAGGAATTAACTGAAAGGGCAGAATGAGGATTCATTAGCAGGTTTAACTGTTCTTCAACATTTGTATAAAATCCTACCCCTAGCTAAGGCACGCTCTGGTTCCCACCCACAGACAGCTTAATTAGCCTCCACTTTCTCTGACTGTCTGGCCACAGTAGAGCTGATACCCTCTCCTAAGAAGACCCCAGAAGACCTGAAGGATGTGGTCCTATCAAATCACTTGACAACCCCTCCCTGCAGTTACAGCAGATAGCAGAAGTCTCCTGATGACATTCTCTAACCATTCTGGCTCACCTTGTAAGTCTGACATTGGTACCAAGTGAGGGCCTCCTTCTGTCTTGCCTGTGTTTCCCTGGTCTTAACTCTACAGGGATTCTACTATTGGGCCACCTACTTCCCCCCATTAATAGCTCATTACTCACCTGTGAACTAAACAGAAGCCTTCAGGTTTTGAGTAGTTCAAAACAGGATTTAGTCAAGTAGATAAATACACCTTTAGTCAAAAGGGTAAAAAAAATAACAAACATCAATGGTAGATTAGAAATATTCAGAAGAATGTGCAAATTATCACAAATAACTAATAAATGGAGAGAAAGCCCATAAAACTTAGGAAAATGAAGAAGAAAGGCAATCTAAGTATGGTGTTCCATGCCTATGGCCTTAGCCTTTGGGAGTCTGAGGCAGGAAGATTGAGTCCAGGAGTTTGAGAGCAGCCTGGACAACAAAGCAAAATGTTATCTCAAAAACAAATTTTTTTGTTTTGTTTTTAAAAAAGAAGGAATGAACACAACAAATTCAATTGTAAAATTTAAGTGGATAGAATAAAACCAAGTGTTTCAATTATTTTGCCGAGTATGGCCATTTTCCTTCTTAAAACGTGTATTCTTACATTGGTATTGAAAAATGTCTGAACTCTGTGCTTGGGTCGGTCACCTTTTTCATCACTGTTGGAATGACCCCAAGGGTAGAAGGGTTTATCTGGGCTCAGCTCAGTGGGCACAGTCCACCATGGTCAGGCAGGTGTGGTGGAGTTGACGAGAGAGGAGCGTGAAGCCAGGGCTCCCACCACACAGTCACAGACAGAAAGCAGAGTTCCAACTGGAATAACGTCCAAGGCCTGTCCCAGTGGCCCAATTCTGTCAGCCGGGCCCGCCTCCCGGGGGCCATCACTTGTCTGATCAGTTCACCAGCTCAGGGCCAAGTGCTCCAACACATTTCGAGGTGGAGCACTTCACATTCAAGCCATAACAATGTTGTTTATAAAACACATTCTTTTAATAATGGAGATTTTTCAAGACCTGTGTGATGCTTAGTTTCAACGGTCAAGTTGACATAATCTATAATCATCCAGAAAGAAAACCTTAATGAGGTATTGCTTAGGTCGGGCTGGCTCATGGGGATGTCTGTTGGGGCTTATCTTAATTGGGATAATTAATGTAGGAAGACCCACACTGGTTACAGGCAGCAAGATGTCATGCTCTGGGCTCTGATCTGAGTGAAAAGTCAGGAACAAGCCAATTGCGGCATGCATTCATTCTTTGCTCTCCCTTTCTGACTGTGGATAGGAGGTGACCAGCTCCCTTAAGGGCTTGCAAACATTGGAACCTTGATCCATGAGCCATACCCCTGCTCCTCTAAATTGCTTTTGTCAGGGTATTTCATCACAGCAGCTAGAAAGGAAACAAGACAAGCTAAAAGCAAAACAGGATAAAATAACACTACATAATCATAAACAAAAGTAAACAGCACAGGAAATGAGTTGACAGTTCTCAAAAGATGGGGTACAAATTGCCAATAAGTATATGAAAAAAAAAAGTTCAGCACTCACTATCAGAGATATGCACATAAATATGACACTAAGATTCCATCTTACTCAGCTAGGGTGTGAGTCATTAAGAAAATAAAAAATAACAAATACTGGACAAGGGGGACCTTTCTACTCTGCTGGTAGGAAACGTAAACTAGTCCAGCCACTGTGGAAATCAGCATAGTGCTTTCTCAAGAAACTAAAAATAGATCTTCTGTATGGTCCCGAATACACCATTCCTGGGTATTTACCCCAAAGACTCCAAGTCAACATATCACAGAAGCACTTGTGCATCAATATTTATTCCAACACTATTCACAATAGCTAAATTATAAACCCACTCACACAAGAGGTCTGATCAGATTAACAGAGAATTAAAATATGGCATATACACGATAGAATTTTTTCAGCCATAAAGAAGCAAGTTATACCATTTGCAGGAAAATGGATGCAACTGGAGATAATCATATTAAGTGAATTAAGCCAATCTCATACGCTCTCATTTGCGGTTACAAGATTTTATAGAGGTACGTAAAGTCATGTCTGGATATACGACATGAAGTGGAATTGTCCGGGGACACAGAGCACTAACAGGGAGGAAAGACGAGAAAGGAGCATGGGGAATTTGTTCAACATCCGATACATACTTGTATAAAATGTAAAAATTAAAATTGTCTCAAAGCGGAACACAGGGTGAGGAGAAAATAGGATGATAAAGGTCACAAGTCGCAAGACAAAAGTCACGGTTTCAAATACGATGACATTTATAGATCTCGTTTACATAGCATGTAAACAAGATAAATCTTTAGAAATGTAAAACCAATGTAATTATAGTTGGGAAAGTTTAAAGAGCTTATTTTTTGGCTTGGGTTATAGCTCAGTTGTAGAGTACTTACCTAACATACATGAGGCCCTGAATTTAATCCTTGGCATCACAAATCAATCCAGCAAGCAATGAAATATTTCTTTCTGAAATGGGCTGATAAGAATAAGTAGAAATAAGGAAAAATTAAATAGTGCAATAAACAGTCACCACACTGTAAGTAGAGATGCTTCAGATAGATAACATCCTCTTTTTTCCCTTCAGGCCTAGGGAACATTTACAAAATCAATTATGTACTGGCTGAAAAAAAATGCCATTAGCAAAAGTAGAGATTTTTATCAGCCACTTTCTATAATTTTAATCCAATAAAATTTAATGAGTAATAAATACAGTGAAACAATTCTATCTACATGGAAACTAAGACCCACCTTCCTAAGGGATCCTTGGAGATGAACGTGTGAGGAGAGCCATGTGCTACAAGGACTCAGCCCTCTGTGAGGAGACATGACGTCATCCTGCACTCGTGCCCATCATTTGTATTTAGCAAAGCAGTTACACTCATCCAATATTGCTGGTATGTGCCTGGGATTGATATCTGACTGTTTATTTGTATCACTGATTCATTCTGTAGAAAGCAAACCAATAATTTAATAACGAATTAAGTTGCCCAATTGAAAGAAATGAAAGTACGAGGTCAGTTTTATTTTTCAAATATATCATTTACTATTGTATTGTGAGGAAAGGCATTCATACACACTCACACCAGAGTTAGTCATAGGAGACATTTAGGATACAGCACCACACACAGCTCGTCACACACCCAACACTAACTATCGCTTTTATTTGTGATTTCCCATTTGACAAGCTTAATAGAAAGTATTTCCCTGCCACACATGCAGGGAAATTCCTGTGATGGGGGACTTTCTTTCCACAGACCCAGGTCCCACTACTCTCAGAGGCTCCAAGAGCTGGGACTTGGGCATCGCTTCTTGATGCTGGAGAACTTGGGAAAGCAGTCAGACATCTTCACGCAGTGTGTGTTCTGGGTTCTGCTTGCTGAACATGCCTGCAGCTATCGGCAATGGCCTTCACATGGGTCCCTTCTTCCCGACTGGGCCTTAGTGAGTAGTAGAAATGGTTAGCTCTCTATTTCAAATGTCTGTTCCAGTTCCCCAAACAAGATCATTAATATACTTCCCCAGATGAGGGAAACCGTATACAAGCAAGGAAAGCAATAATAGTAGTATGTCATGAGTGCTATGGAAGACACAAAACAGGGTGGGTAGACCAATCAGGATCCAGCCACGAAAAGAGTGGCCCAATAAGCAGCCAACTAGACTCTAAGGTGGGGAATTAGTTACCGTGATGTCAGGAGTGTTTGAGGAGAAACCAGGTGGTGAGGAGGCTTCTTGGAGCTACAGCCATTGCGGCTTCAGAATAAAGAAAAGAAATGGGGTTACAGAAGCCCTGAAGCTAATGCCACTCTGAAGATGCTGGAGAATGTGGAGTAGTTGATGTCTTTCCTGATGCCACCCAAAGGGGGAAAGATCTTTCGGGTTCCCTCCATTTCCCTCCCCGACCTCACACTCAAACTCCCTGCCTTGGGATAATAGCTCTATCATTGGCCAAACTTAACTGGAAGCCAGTTGGCAGAGAAAACTTGGAGGTACAATTTGCAGGGCTCTGTCTCTGCAGTACAGAGAGAAGCAGAGGAAGGTGGGGTCTGGAACCTCAACTCAATCCGAGACTTGAACTAACCGGTGATGGGTGGGGACCATTTCAGAGAGGATGGTTAAGAAAGACCTGGAAGGAAATGTCGGTCAAGCAGACACCTGGAGTGGAGAATTAAGTCTCCTGAACAGCTGAGGAAACAGGGCAGAGGGAAGAGCAAGCACAAGGCTCTAAGGAGGAAACTGGCTGGGCCTGTTTAAGGAGCAGTGGAGGCGGGGTGGGTTGAGCTGAGTGTGCAGCAGAGAAAACAGCATGTGGGAGAAATGGGAAAGGCCAGAGGTGAGGGCCTGCTAGCGCATGCTCAGAAACCTGGAGTTCAAGCTAAAGGCAATGAGAAATCACAGGCTGTTCTTTGTGATCAAGTAATGGGAAGTGAGTATCTTAGGATTCCATTCATCTTGAAGATATAGTATCTTTCCCAGTTGAGCACGCCCATGTTCTATGAGTCTCTGTGACCTTCTGCCTCCCAACCTGCCTCTAGGGTGCCCTTCCAATCCCATGACAGAGCCAAAATGCCAAATCATCCTCAAACACGCGCTACCTTTTGTGACAGGTAAACAACTTCTAACAGTTTGTTTATGCAGCAGCCACATCTTGTCAATTCCTACTACTAATCTCCAAGCACCACTAAGCTTCCTGCATTAGCCTGGGGTCCAATCCTCCCTATGAAGAAATGGATCATTTTAAGAGAAGGCTCCTTATAGATTATAAGAAGCTTGGGCACCAATATCTGGGGTCCTCCTCAGATACTGGGAAGCTCTGTTATGATACTGGCACTTGATGCCTCCCCAGGGATCACCTAGGACTTGTCTAGTGCTGCAGATCCATCCCCAGAGAGCACATCCTTTATTATCCACACTCTTTACTGCAAAGCAGAGATCCTGTTCTCTACCAGAAGCCAAGGGGAATAAGAAGAGAGACACGTTTCATGTGCCACAGAATACTCTGCGTCCTTCATGCATGTTGATCAATATCAAAAGTCATCCTCAAGACATATTCCAAACAGAGGTGGCCCCTGAGCTCCCGGTCACCAATTCCTTCTCTTAAATAAAGTCTCTCATGTCCACTTTCACAAGGTCTTGTCTAGATGTGAGTGGAAACTAAGATCACCAGTGGTTGAAGAGAATCTGACATAGAAGCCAGAAACAAAGAAACAATAGCTAATAGATGTTCTCACAAAACTACAGAGAAAGGAAGAAGTCTACCCAAGGTACACTGGTCAAAAAAGAAAAAAAAAAAAAGAAAGAAAACAGATAGAAAAGGATCCCAATCAGGCTGCCACACTTCAGCCGGGCGGTGGTGGCACACACCTTTAATCTCAGCTCTTGGGAGCCAGAGGCAGGCGGATCTCTGTGAGTTCGAGGCCAGCCTGGTCTCCAAAGCGAGTTCCAGGAAAGGCACAAAGCTACACAGAGGAAAACCAGACTGTCACACTTCACTAGAAGCTAGAAAACAATGAAGCCATTGCTTCAAAATGTTGAGGAAGAAAGGAAGAAATAATTTCCAATCTGGAATAGGTAGCAGGCCCTGAGGGTGTCCAGGCTATGCAGGAACCCGACATGGGTCAGCAGCAGAAATCTCCACTTTCCACCGAGCTCTGGGACTGAATCACTGAGATGTATCAGATAACTGAGTCAACAAAAACCAGGCCGTCATTAGCAGGAGTAACGAGATGTTAGACAGGGGAGACACTGCCAGATGCGCTGTATGACTCAGCTATGACCAGAGACCTCATTCACAGCAACATAAACAGTGACTTTTGACCCAGGCTGAACGTGTTACAGCGCTGTCAGGAACCTGGGTGGGACTGGTGTGGAGGTATCCCACAGGGCTGATTTTCATCTTCCAGGGGAAACAGGAAATTAGAATATCTAAAAGAAGATTGGTGGTCTTTCGTGTTTTCATGTGAATTTTAGGATTTTTTTTTTAAGTTCTGAAAATAATGTCACTGAAATTTTTATAGGAATCACATTGCATCTGCAGATTGCTTTGGGTAATATAGCCATTTTATAGCATTAATTCAGCCAATCTAGGGGGCATAGACGCTTTCTATTATCTGGTGTCTTCTTCAATTTCTGTTTTCAGTATCTTAAAATTTTCCTTAGAGAAATCTTTCAGCTCATTGGTTATTTTTATTCCTGTATATTTTAATTTTTAAGGCTATTGTGAATGGGCTATTTTTTCTAATCCCTTCCTCAATAACAAATGATTATTGGATATTGATCACGTACCCTGCCACTTTATAGGAAGTGTTTATGGGTGCTAACATTTCCCTGTCGACTCTGTGAGATCTTTTAAGTATGGAATTAGCCATCTGTAAATAGTGATAGCTTAACTCCTCCCTTTTTCAAGTTGTATTGACTTAATATCTTTCTTTCTCTTGCCATATTGCTCTAGCTAAGATTTCAGGCAAGAACTTTTTAATAGAACCCAAGTAGCAGAAAATAGCCTCACGAACTGGCATGTGGGATTACATGAAACTGAAAAGCTTCTTACTAGCAAAAGAAACTATGACAAAGTAAACAGCCTACATAATGGGAGAAATCTTTGCCAGCTCTACTTCCGGAATATATAGGCTAATATCTTTAGTATGTAAAGAACTAGATACCAACAAATAAAAACCCTGCCAATCAATAAATGGGCCAATGAATTGATCAGATCTTTCTCAAAATAAAAAGTAAAAATATATAACTAAAAGGGTTTTTTTTAAAAAGTGTTCAACATTTTTAACCACCAGGAAAACACAAATTAAATTATTTTACAATTCCATCTCACCTAAGTCAGAATGACTATTGTGGAAAAAAAAACAAATTGTAAGTTTGGTGAAATGACCTTGTGGGTAAAGGTGTTTGACAACAAATTGACCACCTGAGCTCAATCCCTGGACTTCACATACTAGAAGGAGAGTACTGAATCCTGAAAGCTGTCCCCTAAATTCCACACATGCATGGTGAATTATACCAACACACACACACACACACACACACACACACACACACACACACACGACGTAATTGCTAATTTTATATAAACTTGGCACAAGCTACAGAGAGGAAAGAGAAAATGCCTCCATAAGATCCAGTGATCAATGCAGGAAGGCCTGGCCCATTGTGGGTGGTACCACTCCTGGACTGGTGGTCCTGGGGTCTGCAAAAAAGCAGGCTGAGCCAGTTGGTCATGGCACATGCCTTTAATCCCAGCACTTAGGAGGCAGAGCAGGGAGATATCTTTGATGTTGCCCTGGACTACAGAGCTGGTAGTCTGTTCCAGGACAGTCAAGTCTACACAAAGAAACCCTGTCTTGAAGGAAAACAAAACAAAACAAAAAACCCCAACAACAAAAACACAAAACAAAACAGACAGAGCAAGCCAGTAAGCAGCACTCATCCATGGCTTTATCATCAGCTCCTGCCTCTAGGTTTCTTCTGCTTGAGTTCCTGTTCTGACTTCCTTTTGTGATAAGCAGCAATGTGAATGTGTAAGCCGAATAAAGCCTTTCCTCCCCCAACTTGCTCTTTGGTCACGGTGTTTCATTCCACTAGAAACACTAACTAAGACACACACACACACACACACACACACA